TTTTCAGACAGTTCCAGCCCAGACTCGGGAAATACGAGCTCATATAAAAGAGGAAATGGTTTCTGATAAAGGTAAAGATGGAGAGTTAATCACAAAATGTATTTATAAAAAGGGCGACAGTGGCTCATTGGTATTCTTTTAACCTATTGTCACCCACCGCTGTTGTTGTGTCCATGGGCAAGACACTTAACCCCACTTTGCCTGGAGCCCCCGCTGAAAGACCAAGGTCCCTCGACCCAGATGAAAATCAATGTATGAATGAATGAATGTAAGTTTGGTACTCCAGCATAAAGGGGTTTTGTTTGGGGTAAATACAGTGGGGGCAGGTCCTGGCTCAAAAGTGGCCAAAATGACGTGCGCTGACATGCTTGCAATACCACCCCGGGCCGATGGGGGTGGACCCGGAGTAAGAATTAGCTAATGCTAACATATAGCATTGGCAGACCTCTTGAAAACGTCTTTACAGGATGGACCAAAAGTTGGCTCTTGGCCCAAAGCTCCGTTCCACATGTGTGTCAATGCTGAGGGAGGTGAATTTTTTTGGACCACTCTAGTTTACTTGCTGTGAATTTTTGAGGTCTCTCGTTCAAATAAATGGAGCTGCGCCGGCTGACTCATGCACAGGTGCGTTTTTTCACAATTTTCTTGTGGGCGGGACTACTCGCGGCCATCTTGGATAGCTCCAGTAGAGCACTATTTTTGGCCCATTAGTTAGAACGGCGGAGATAGGCGTAACTACGTCCATTATTTTTTACAGTCTATGGGTAAATATTAGAGTGAATGAGGAGGAATAAGTGTATGATCGAAAATTCTTCCTGTAGTCAACCAGAGGAAAGAGTTTACGGCTATAGAAAGAAAATAGTACATTTTACACACAGCATGTGAATTAATATGACTCAGTGTGAATTTGTCACCTATAGAATCATAACCAGGCCAAAATACACATTTTGGCCTAGTTCACTTTAACTGGACCAAATCTGGTTCACTTTAACTGGACCAAATCTGGTTCACTTAACTGGACCAGTTCTAATATTTGAGAAACTGAAAATTGTTACCCTCATGCACCACTAATGACCATTTCGACACATTCGACTCTCAAAATAATCACAAATAACTGGATATCAAATTTTCATTGCAGAGAAACACTTTGAAGATCCATAGTAACTCAATTCTATAACAGCTGTACCTGGAAACCAAAATAACTTGAGTTATTATAAATCTGAAGCTTACGGTCAATCCCTGCTGTGAGTCACGCAGACTGGAATCAACCAACGACTATTTGTAGCTGCCTCCAACTGACACTCATCAGATAACAAAAGGCATTAAATGTCCAATATTAAAATGTTTTACTTTTCTCTGGTTTAAGCATCATCACACCTGTTTGTCCCAGAGGAGTTGTTTCATTGTTTCCCCTCGAGCTTTAGTCAGAAACAATCTTTCTCTTTCTTTCTCCAGAGGAAACTAATCGACCGGATTCACTTTGTTACGTAGCATCGCTTCAGCTCCAGAAGCCCCACCCCCAGGAGGTAATTGACAGGAGAGAGACACCAAAACAGCGAATCAGCACACAGCCTGTCTCAGCGTATGGACCATAGACTGTATGGACCATAGACATATGGACCATAGACTGTATGGACCATAGGCTGTATGGACCATAGACTGTACGGACCATAGACTGTACGGACCATAGACTGTACGGACCATAGACTGTAGGGACCATAGACTGTATGGACCATAGACTGTATGGACCATAGGCTGTATGGACCATAGACTGTACGGACCATAGACTGTAGGACCATAGACTGCATGGACCACAGACTGTAGACCATAGACTGTGTCAACTGGGACTACTCATGGGACTTGCATCTAAAATCTGTGACAAATCTGCATTTGTGCAAGTGACACCTAGGACTGTTTACCATGAAAATGGACTCACTCAAAAGCTGATCTTAAACCTGTGTTATTCCCACAATAAAAGACGCTATCGAAGAGCTCCGATCTGTAAGTGCAGTGATGCTAACTCGCCACATACTTCTGTAACTAAATAATTAGGTCTGACTCTGGACCCAGGACATAGGGCTCTGTGTGACGGGTTGTTATTGTTTGAAAATGTTTATTCCCAGGTCTGAAATGATTATGTTCTGTGTTTACAAAGTTAGCACGAGGCTACGTCACCGCACGGGTGAGGGAGGGGGTGAGGCGGGGGTAAGCAGGTGACGGAAGGGGAAGGCGAGTGTTGGGCTCTCAGGGAAAAAGCACAGATCCAAGCGTTTCAATAGAGGTGACAGCTCTATGCAAGAAATGGCTATCATGTCTAAGTTTTGAGAGTTGTGTGATAATAATGTTGGTGTACCGCACACGTGCTTGGGGTGGACTGTGAAAAAACAAGAAAAGCAAAATATTGGACGTTTAAATATACGGATTGAAAACAGCGACAGTTCGAGGCTTGAGGGACTTGTGGAGAACAGCAGCCTTCAAACTGGATTTCTACGTGTTTTGACTGATGGTCCTCTCACTTCGCCTCTAATTAAGACGAGGGAACGCAGAGAGAGGGTTCTGCCACTTTTGAAAAAGCTTTTTGTGGAAACTCGATAGTGTGTTGTTGAAGTTAAGTCATCCCCGTGTTCTGTGCCCCGTGACAGGCGCTGCCCTGAACCACAGCCAAACTAAACAATCTGGGACGCCGCTTTGCAAAGTCGGGGAAAAACTGACAGCTCCATCTGTAGTTTCGGCCTAACGATCATTAAACCACATTAAACTATGATGGACATTTAACTGTGCAGAGGAGAAAGGAATATCAACTATCATATTTCATTCAGAATACTAAAACTGAACAAATAGTTTAATGATAACAATACATTTTATTGCTCATTTTACATGTAATGATATGTCATTTTACTTTCCCTCAAAGTCCCCTCACAACATTACATTTTCTTTATTTACAAAGCTTCACAGTCACAAAGTCACACACGTTCTATTTGTGAGGTTTGTAAGTTTTCTGTGAAAAGGAAATTACAGGAAGCCGCATGAGCTTTTAGGCCCCAAAAACAAAACATGTGAAACAAATGTGACGATTTATACCTTTATACAAGTTTACAGTGTCATCCAGCCAACTTCAGCTCTAGCAGTAAATGCATGCTGTATCTCGTTCTCTAGCTCTACATTCAAGGCATTGACTTTATGTGTATAACATGACATTAGTGTGTCTGTATGTGTATAAGTGTATCTGTGTGTGTATGTCTGTGTCTGTGTGTGTCTGTTTGTGTACTGTATATGCTTGTCTGTTTCTCTGTGTGTGTCTATGTATATATATGTGTCTGTGTGTGTGTGGGTCTCTGTGTATGTGTGTGTGTGTGTCTCTGTGTGTGTATATAAGTGTACGTGTATATGTGTGTGTCTGTGTGTATATATGTGTGTCTCTGCGTGTATATGTGTGTGTATGTATAGTATGTGTATGTATGTGTAGACTACAGTGAGATATGCCGTTTAAACACCGGACATGAACCACGCACCCACACACATACAAATCACAACTTTTCACACAAATACAAACAAGTCATGCTTCGACAATGGCTCAACGACAGATTTCAACATTGCGACGGACTTACAGAGAAGACGTGGGGGCTGTAGCGACTTACTGGAAGTTAAGTCGCTTGGAAGTGTGTGTGTGTTCACTCATGGGGAACAGATGGCTCCTTATCATTTGCCAGATCTCGCGCGCACACACACACACACACACACACACACACATTCCTAGACTATCTGTAATGTCTTTTGTGATGGTCGTTTAATGGCACCTTCACATAGAATTACACATGAATCTGGAATCAAACCGTGATCTGACCTGAGCAGGTGATTTCTAACTGATAACTGTACTGTTTCTGTGGGTCACACCATCCAAAGGGTAAAGGTCACATGGTCCAAAGGGTTAAGGTCAGATTTATACAGTAATATGTTTAAATTTTCCAAGTGCGAGGCAACACAGGAGATGGCTTTTACAATTACATTCAAAGTCTTTATTTATGTTCCTTCATAATTGAACATGGGCAAATATCAACGTTTAGCACATCTTTTAATGGCTTGAGTTCCATCAGATTAAATTGAATTAATATCTATTTTTTGTGGATCCCTAATTATCTTTTTTAAATCAACAGTAGGAGGAGAACATTTGCCAACACAGGAATGCAATAATAACAAACACATAGAAGCCATTGGTCCATAAGGGGCAGATTTCAATGTTAATAAAGTACTTTATTAAAATAGTGCAATTTTTACAGACCAAGGTCTCCCAAAGCTCTTCAGAGTTTGTTCCATTCTCTCCACACGGTGATGACAGAAGCAAGACCAGAACACACTGGTCCATCAAAGCCTCCGACCAAACACCATCAATCACTCTTTACATTCAGACTATTGTGCATGTTTTTAGTGATGGGGGAAACCGGAGCACGCGAAGGAAACCTACGCAGACATGGGGAGAACATGCAAACTCCACTCAGAAAGGCCCCATAAAACTGATGCATTATTATTATCATTATTATTAAGAAAGTAATAAGTCATCTTTATTTATTTAGCGGCTTTTACAGACCAGAGTCACAAAGCACTTTTGGGCATTTTTATCCCACTCCACATTATTATTATTGTTATCTCTGCACTTGTGATGATGCACTTCATATTTAAGAAAGTCATTTTATATCAATCTGTAAATTATCTTCCATGAAATCAGTGGCAAGAGCTCTGGTGTGTGTCGTCTGGTGCACACTAGGATAATCTTGCACAGTTTTTCCAATGTGGTTTTACTGCAAATGGCAAATAAATGAATCTGATCTGAAATGTTCACAAAAACCCCTTAACCCCTCCTCCCCCCCCCTGTCTCTGTGCTCTGGGCCTTTTTATCGCGGCTAATTCCCCACTTCTGATAATGGAGTTTTATTGGAGAACACATTATTAAAGCCTGTCTGTCTAAATACCAGAAATAGTTGGACAGACGCCTAAACACGTCCATGGTTCTGCCCAGACTCAGAGTGATGGATGAGGACGCAGAGGTAAAGGCCTGGACCGGGGCCAAGCGTATTACATCTGAGGTGAAGGGTGAAGGCTCAGTGCATTGGGGGGGCATGTATCCTGTGGCCCCCCGCAGAGTGCTCAGGTCAGAGGCAGAAATGATTGACAGCTGGTTTAACTGTCAGCGGATGGTGCAGTGGTGTTGAAGAGAGAAGAAAAAGAATATTTACTGTTTTGTGTTCAATTAACAATTCTCTGTCGATACTGTTTTATCACTGATCCAAAAACAAATATCGGATTGGAGTGTATTGCTGTAATAATAATTCATCAAAGTTTAATGGTAAAGAGAAATATGTAAGTCATGTTTATTTATATAGCGCATTTTACAGACCAAGGTCACACCGTAACAAGTCGCCGAACACACTGGTCCATCAAAGCCTCCGAACCAAACACCATCCATTCACACATTACATTCAGACCTATTGTACATGATTTTAGTGATAGGGGAAACAGGAGCACCCAGAGGAAACCTACACAGGCACAGGGAGAACATGTAAACGCCACTCAGAAAGGCCCTGTCCCGACCGGGATTCAAACCCAAGACCTCCTTGCTGGGAAGCGAGAGTGCAATTTTTGTAATAATAAGTACGTATTTTTACCATTTCACCAATCAGAAAGTCTGTGATCCGGGTGCCAGAACTCACCGTGTGGAGCTAATCTCACTGGTAAAGCACCATGTAGCGGCAGAACTAAAAAAGGTCTTGTTATTATTCTCAAATCATTAACGACAAAACACGGAATAAAACCAGGATTTCTATCTTTGTGAAAAAGGTGTTGGTTATAGATTTGTTGTTGACAAAACTCTTGTCTATTCAGCTGTTATGGTCCCAGCTGGATTCGTCTGCATATCTGGCAACCAGAGTCAGGGAAAGTGGGAGAGGCTGCAGTACCACTTTTGGCCACATACTGGGGTACCATACCATGGTAATAGGACTGACAGCCCTTCATTCAGAGCTGATTTCTCACTGGTTTTCGCCGATGCAAACGCAGCTGTGCTCTCTGGTAATTAAAACAGAGGCCTTTACGCGAAATGTCAATCTTTATTCTGGATTCGGTGACAGCCACATTCTGCTAATGCAATATCCACAGAGTCGGGGAATGGGTTTGTAACGTGGGAAGCAGACCAGGAATTTAATAACAGAAATATAAATACGACTGAGCTTTATGGTTTGTAGTAAATGGAAGGATTCTAAAATCAGATGAAATATTGTTTTAGTTTGTTATTAATGTAATGATCCAATCCATGTTTCTTTTATATTTGTTTTATAGTCCCTGAATGTTGTTCTTACTCAATAGTTTTACCTGAAGCAATGACTGAGACAGATTTTGGTTTGGTTTCCTACAGTAAACTAACATCCATTCATATTTGGCATCAGGGCTTGGATTAACTTTTCACATTTTCAAAATTTATACATTTTACTCTTGTTATTCTCAAGTCAAGAACTACATTACAGTGTATTTTTATTTAGCTCCAATTGGAAAAGGTTGGAGAGCCCTGATCTACGTCTACACTAGGACACGACACATTACTTCTGTGCTCATTGTAGGCAAAGTGGTTAGAGTGTCTTGCCCAAGGACACAACATCAGTGGGAGTCGGTGGAGATGGTCTCACGGTGGCCTTAAACCCACAACCCTCCGCCTCTAAGACCAATTCTCTAAAAACTGAGCCATTTTCACGCTCTGATTAATTTCCAGTCACAAACACACTCGACTGTTTAAACTTTTAGTCTGTAATTAATGAAAGGAGATTAGAAAACCAGCTGCCAGTAAATATTTTGTTCCAAACAACGTCAGACTAAATATTGCTGTAAATCTGAGCTGCCGCCGCAGGAAAAACACATGCACATATTTAGTTTTATCTTTTCATGAGACAAAACACCAACACGGGGCTTAGCATGATTGTGCGTTGTTCGATTCTTTTTCTTTAGCCTGAGTTAATGATATATTGACAAAACCAAACATAATGGCTGTATACTTTCTCCTATCACCTTAAATTGCCTTTTTGCCTCCGAAAAGCTCCGCCAAGCCACGACAGAAAACCTGTGCTGCTGAGTTATTCCAAATTGTGTCGTGATTTGCAGCACAGCAGAGTTTGCAGATGAGTTATCGGCATATTTGGGCATAATTCTTGTCTTCAGTGGTTAACATCTGAGAGACGGCTGCAGAGACAGGACCAGGGAGAGTCATTGAAGTTTAGCAAACGTGGGAATGAAAGTGGCTCTTCTGCGAGAACAGATGGTGACGGGGAGGTTGTCCGTGTTGTGCTTTTGCAATTTTTTGATGTAGTTTTCTGCCTGCGCTAAAGGGAATACGGCAACTTGTTTGTGTGAGTGGGACGAGCAGCTGTAATCACATTGCACTGACAGATTTATGCAACGCTTGTTATGGCGTCTCAGCATTTTCAAACGACTGGGAAGTAAGATCTGATCGGTGGTAAGAGTATCTCCTCTATCTCCGGTTTTTGGAACTGGACTTGTCTTATGTTATGTTGAGATAAGACTCAACAAATACTGTAGATTCCCATGAGACTTGTGGCTCTAAACCTGCAGATACTGAGGGAAAATTATTACATTTGTGTCATAAATTCAATTGTTTAACTTAATTACAAAGTGTTTGTACTTTTCTGTCTAACTAACTAACAAACTTCCCATTCACTTTTCCCGGCTTTTCACTAAATATATTCTTCATAAAATCAGCTTGAACCCAGAAAGTTATAGTTTTCTCTTTAGAATGTTCTGGAAACAGCAGCGAGTCCCAAGTGTCTCTGAAACTGTTGTTTTGTGTTTTTTTTATCTTTCTTGCTTTTTTCTACCTGAGATGTTGCTGCTTTACAGTGTTCATGGTTTTACACTAGTCAAGACCAGAGCAGAGAAGATTCATGGTTTTACACTGGTCCAGACCAGAGCAGAGAGGATTCATGGTTTTACACTGGTCCAGACCAGAGCAGAGAGGATTCATGATTTTACACTGGTCCAGACCAGAGCAGAGAGGATTCATGGTTTTACACTGGTCCAGACCAGAGCAGAGAGGATTCATGGTTTTACACTGGTCCAGACCAGAGCAGAGAGGATTCATGGTACGAACCAAGTGGATCAGGTTAAAATCCGCTGGGGTAATGCTAACTTTCGATCTATCTGTCTATATCTATCTCTATCTAAAACACCAAGTACATAAAACATAAAAACCACAGTGTTTGTGAATAAACTTTCTGACCCGTTGCTTGTGTGTCATCCACCTCCACATCATCTCATGTCTTTGATGAACAGAGCAAATCCCGAACCCAAGGGCACAGTCCATCCTCGTCCGTCAGCAACTCGTCTTCTGGTTGTGGTAATTACAGGAGCGTAAATATGGCGCCGGCTCGATGGCTCAGAGAGATGTATGTGGCACACGCCGCCGTCCGTCTCTGCTGATCCAACACTTACACTTATGGACGCTTCTGTGAGATTTCCTCTGGAGAATGGCTGAGTGTTTATGAGACACGAGTGGAAGAGTCTGAGGAGCATGCCCTTTGATCTCTGAAGAGGTTTGTTTATAAAGTGTGAGTCTCGCTGCAGAGGATGGCAGCTTGTGGTTTGTCAGTCATGTTTTTGGCTGCAGTTGGTTGGTTGTGATTGAACAGATAATTGTTAGTGTCAGCGAGGAAGAGCGCATCACTTCTGTTGAATGTCGGAAGTATCTTAGTAAGTTAAGTAAGTAATAATTATAATTCATTGGTTTTATATTGCGCTTTTTTGGACACTCAAAGACACTTTACATGTCATTATTCTCTCTCTCCAAACATGGTGGTGATAAACTACTACTGTAGCCACAGCTGCCCTGGTAACCAGTATGTGCCATCGGCCCCTCCGACCACCACCAACCATTCACACAAACACCAGACTCATTCTAGTGTGGGGGAAGTGGCTTGCCTAAGGACACAACAGCAGTTTGGCACTTTACAGCAGCCCCACTGTGGCACCTGCTGTTCCCAGAGGTTAAGTGTGTTGTCCAAGGACACGACAGCAGACATCAGTGGAAGTTGGTGGAGAAAGTATTGTGGTTGGCTCGAACCCACGACCTTCTGGCTCAAAGGCCAATGCTCTACCAATTGAGCTACTGTCGCCCGCGTAGTAATGTAATGTTTATTTATATAGCGCCTTTCACAGACCAGAGTCACAAAGCTCTTTACTGTTGTTACATTTGTCTCTGACTCCACACAGAGATGGAGCAGTCGCAGGAGTTACAGACCTATTGTACATGTTTTTTGGGTTTAGGGGAAACCAGAGCACTTGGAGGAAACCTACGCAGACCCAGGGGTCCTGGGTTCCGACCAGGATTCAAACCCAGGACCTTCTTGAAGCGAATGTGCTAACCACTCAGCCACGGTGCCGCCCCATCCACTGAAAATAGAACACGTTAAAACTGTTTCACACATTCAACATTGAGAATAAATTCTGTGAGATTCTGTGAAACTGGCTCAACATTGTGACTACAGCGGTTGGATTCACACACACACACACACACACACACACACACACACACACACACACACACACACACACACACACACACACACACACACACACACACACACACACACACACACACACACACACACACACACACACACACACACTAAAATAATGATAATAATAGTACAATAATCAATGATATTTTTGTCTAATAGAACAATGTTGACAACAACTAAAAAAAGGGAAAATCTACTTTTGTTTTTATGCTGGAGCTCGGCACCAATATTAAAATGAAGACTTTTTTTGTCGAGAAATGTTGTTTATGTTTGTTTTCTGTGGATATAAACTACAGCTCATCAATAAACTGAACAACGATGAAAAGCTGCAGCATCAGTGTGAAAAAGAACAAAAGTCAGTTTGATGTCAAGACAAAGAAACACAAAGTAAACTTAAAACTATTGGGACTGGGCCTTTCTCTGTGGAGTTTGCATGTTCTCCCTGTGTCTGTGTGGTTTTCCCCTACTTAACCTTAACCCTAAAAACATGTACGTAAGGGGAGTTAGTTAGTTAGATAATTTATTGATCCCTGTTGGAGAAATGCATGTGTCCAAAACACATCCATCCAAACAAACAAAACAAATAAATAGATTATTCCAAAAAGCAACAATAGTAAAAGGTGAAGGTGGAATGA